TGTTGAAATACCGATCCAGTTGTTGATTTGGATTCTCTAATATTCGTGAATAGATCATGGCAAGGCGGCCCCACTCCTGCTGCATGTACTCATATTCTATGTACTTATCCCAAAGAGGAAAAGACAGGTAATCTGTTCCAACATAAGCTAATCCTCGCTCAAAAAGCCTGAAAGACCATAAAAAAGGAAGTATTGTGATGAGATGAGTACAAGTATCAGTACATATGAGTTAAAGACGTCCATGAAAGGGAGACACCGGCACAATTCACTCTAACACCATATGACACTTCTAAACGCTGCATTTACCTTCCTGAAATAAACCATACTATGTCCGTCAAATGGAGCAGTGATAGAGGCCATCTAAGCCCTTAACTGGACGAGATCTTCTCAGCAGCAATTTGCATAATGATGCACTTCAGAGTGTCAAAGTTAAATAGAGCCATAATTCATTGACTAAATTACTAAGATGCAGGTCTTCATGGTATGGGAGTTTGAATGGATATTTGAGGCCAAAAAATGGTATCAGATCCTTATAAACACAAAACGAAACAAAAAGCTACACTAGTACAGCAGCCTCAAAATCAAGGGATTGCACATCAGAAAAGGATTTCTAAAGTGCATTCCCATCAAACCTTTCCGTAATACATGTGAAGAACCACTGTTGCAATCATACTGAAATGACGTTAGAAAGCAGGAACACCAGTTTCTTGCAACTGAGAAAAGCATGCAGTCATAAACTACCAAAACAAAGACCAACAATAAGAATGCATAAATGAACAGCTATTACCTTCTAACAGTGTCTGGATCTCCATATGTGCTTATGGAAAATATGCAGTAATGCAACCAGATGTCAACTGAATAGGTAACACCTTGAACTGCTCGTTCAAAAACCTCCACAACTTTATCCATAGAACCTAGACGTGCCTCATGATCCGCATACTTTTTCCAATAACCATAACACAAAGGAAACTCTGCTAAAAACGCATCATAAACTTTTTGAATTTTCAGTATGTTATCCTGCATAAGAATGTTGAGCAAATGTTAATTCCAAAGAGGTGCTAGGTGTTATATACAAATGAAATTCAAATAGACAATGAATTATGAAAGCAAGAAGTGGTGACAAAACAGTAACCAACAAGACCTACGGTAATAACAATTAGTGTCACTATAGAAAAACAAACAAGAAAGTAACATATGTATTCGAAGGTAGCTGCTTTCATATACCCACTTATGCAAATCCATGGGAACATCATGGCATACTAAGAGAACTAATCTCACATGACATCTAAGAACATATACAAGGCACTATTAAGTTCACAATTCTGCAATCTCAGATGACTCATACTTGAATAAAGAGAGTTTCTCACAAGGCACTATTAGGTTCACAATTCTACAACACCCATGAAAATCCCACTGCCATCTCTTGATGTGCTTACATTGGGGAAAAAGAGAAACAGGAACATTCAACCATATGCTTCATCTAATGACTCAAAATTCAAGCTAACATACCTCTGCAACTTTCTCTGTCTCTTCAATTAAAGCAGTCCAGGCATTAAAATCCAAGGAATCAGCTCTCACAATGTTCCAGAGTCTATCTTCTTCAGCAGACATAGCTTGAGCAAAATAAATAAATAAATATAAGAAAAAATGTAAAAAGTTAAATGAAGTGAATCCGGATTTTCAGATGCATAATCTATAAGGAGGAACAAAATAGCAAACAGATCAAATCATATGGTCAATGGTGTCAATCGGCTAAACAAAAGGTTTTTTTTTTTTTTTTACCAGAACCATCTCCAAATTGTTGAACATTAACAGATCCGGCCACATTATCTGTAGCATCTCCATTATCAACAGATGAAACAGTTCCTGTTCCGGAAGCAGCAACACCATTCACAGAAGAATCATAACTAGCAGCATGAGATGACTCCATGGCATCATTTTCATTACCAGTAACATTCCCACCAGCATCTGTCACTCCAACAGATGGTTTAGTCTCGTATGTCGTGTAACTATCTGATTGTTGAATGAGAGAATTGGGATCCGCAGAATATGCATCTGCCGGAGCAGCAGAAGTAGAAAACTCTGTGGTCTCCTTAGAATGCAAGGCACCAGTATCAGGAGCAATATTTGAGTTGGCATCAGTGTAGCCCGTCGTGGTATATCCTGCTGATGTATATCCCATCACTGCAGATGTTTGAGCAACAACTGTCTCACTATCCCCCATACTTGACGATCAAATTTTTGCTCTAGTATCGTGCAAACTGCAAGAATATAAACAAAAAACTTATAAGCTCTTCAACAATTGAGACAGCAAGAGTGGCACACTTAAATACATCTCTCACTAACAGTTTGGACAGAACAAGTGTGCAAATAACCCTTTCAAGACTTCAATCTAATCAATCCCAACAAGAAGAACCCAATCCATATAAAAGTGGTGGGGGAAACGAAGTTTAGGTTCATTGCATTGAAATTTACACTTTATATTGGATAGGATAAAAATAAAAATCAAGTAATCTCGATGAATTTTAACAATTTATATGAATTCTCCCTTTCCCAATGAACAATAATATGTTGCACCACTCTTTAATTTCATAATCGAAATTATAATTTTCTAGAACCTAAAACAAGGAACTGTACCAAATTTATGTGTGTTTTATATACAATATACATACTACACTAAGGCCACTTAACTCATTGAAGATTAAAGAAATTACAGTAAAATTAAAGAAGCAAAGCACAGACTACACGCTTAGCAGCAAATCAAAAAATACGAGAAACCTAACCAGGATTAAGCCTAGGGTTTGGCAGGATAAACCCTAATTCGAAAGCGCAACAAAGAAGGAAGGGGAACGGCGGTTAATGGAACTCGCAGAGGAGGTACCTGGGCCACAGACGGCGTCGTTTTCGATAGAGTTCAGCTCAGCTTCGAGGAAGATGGAGATTTTGAAGCCTTTGAGTAAAAACTTTTTGGTGGTAAAACGAAACAGCAGAAGAGAGAGAACAGAGGAAACTTGAAGCGGTGGTAGACGTAGGGCAGGTGACTCTTTTTATTTTCTTTTTCTTAATTTATTCGTTTCTTGTTAATGACGTGGAGCTTTTGTTGGATGTTGGATTTGGGCTGTGCAGATGATGATGCCTCGGCTTTGATCAGGCCCGTCTAATTTTGTGGACAGAGACGTTTTGGGCATTTTGTGAATGACCATAGCCCAGTCCAAAAATATAAGTACACTGCTTCCTTACTTCCTTGCTTTTCTGGAAGTTATAAAAATCACAGTTTAACGCATATACAAAAATAATCCATCAAAAACACAAAAAGAAAAATGGATACACATATGTCAAACTGTGATTAGAAATATGGAGAAGAAAATTTACCGTATTGTTTGTTTAATCATGTTGAAAAATTGTCAACCTTAATTGCAATTGAGATCGTGGAATTAACTATGGAGGAGAAAACTTATCATATGATTAGATGACTTTTAACAATAATGATTTAGCATCCATTTTCACTTGTTTGGATGGGATTGTATTAGAAATTGAAGTTCAAGTACGAAAGAAATTTCGAAGATATTCTAAGTTCAAAAACAACAAAGGGCCAAAATAGAATAGGAAGAAAGTAAGATCCATGCCAAACTTCTTTTTCTCAATGATTGATGCAAAAACAACAAAGAAGATAATGAAATCAAAAGCTAAAAAGTATAATCTTGAGGGAAGCAAAATAGTCTTGAGGAATATGAGGTTAAAGTCTGGTATCTCTCAACCATAAATTGTAGCCTTACTAATCTCCATGCATAAGCACGTGCTGCGTACTTTAAATATTGGAATCCTCCAAAATTTGAATTCTTGTTGTTTGAAGTTGGTTATGTTTAGGGTGTTAGAGCATCCACAGTGAGGGGTATATGTTAAATATACACTCCGAGTCACCGGAATGGTCTCCAATGAGGAGATGTAAATGGATGTAAATATACATCACCACCATAGGGATGTAAAATAAAATGTATATTTACATCTATTTTTACATCCCTTGCTGACGGGACCCACTCGAGAAAAGAGAAGAAAAATGAAGAAAAGTAAACATAAAAGGTTGAGACCCACGGCTACACCCCCGAATTTACACCCCCCACTAGAGCAAAAAACATATTTACACCCCCCGGAGATGTAAAAGTGGCTTTACACCCCCGAATTTACACCCCCCACTGTGGATGCTCTTAGAGAAGAACTATTGGTTAAGTGATCTTTTTATTTTGCTTATTGATTCACATATGAATTTGGTTCATCTTCTTCATTATCTACCATTATCCTGTTATTATAGGAGTTGCAATTTTTTTTTTTTTTTCTCTTCGTCTATATTTAAAGAGTATGGCTGCGCCATACTTTTAAAATATATTAATATTTAAAGCGTATAACCGCACGGCTATACTCGTTAAATATATTCCACCCACCATACTTTTAGTTACTAGGCTATACTCATTGACCACAAATCCTTTGGACCGTAGAGTCGAGGAGAATGGGACTACATGTTATCAATGACGAACAACATTGTTGCCAGAAGCCAAGACTAAGATTCATTGTTTGATAAAAAAGAAAGACTGAGATTCATAGAAATCATATTAACCACTAAAAGAGAAGGAAACCAATTCTAGCAACCGAAAAAGTGAAAGAGCACAAATTAGAAAAACTATTAAGGTCTGCGAAAAAAGAAAAAGAAAATCAGATTATGCCTTTGCATTCACCTGACTGTGGGTGGCTTGAGTAACAACATGTCTGCAGATTTTCATCTGCTACACCAGAGTTGAAAGGAAGAACACGGTTATGATTTTCTACTCTGAATGTGTTTTTATTTGAGTGAACTTTTATTATTTATTTTGTTAACTTTTAATTTTTTATTAAGCTAAATTAATATCTTATGTAGTAAAAGTAAAATAAAATTGATTTTTTACTCTCTTTTTTCAATCCTTAGATTAGATCAAAGAGTGAGTGACAACAAGTCTCTTGGACCGTATGAAAACGGGACTGATAAACATATATAAATTCTTGAAACTCATACACATCACACCTTAAGAAAGCTCAATTCATGAAAGAAACAGATCATTTGGCACATCCAAATTGATCCAATGTGATATGTCGAACATTAAGTTGAAGTGAAACTTGGTTTCCTCATTCCAAGGCTTGCTTGCTGTTTCTCCATCATGGGTTTTTGAATTCTACTCTGCACAACCCCATTCTTTTTATCAATGCTTTGTTGGAGCCTTTTGGTCATGTTCACAGGCCTTGCTGCCTTCTTCACCTGACTTTGGACGATCTTGGGTTGCTGGGGCTTTTGGGCAGCTGCCACTTTTTCTTTTGTGTTATGCACTTTGACAGCCAATGAGTTTTTATCAACCACCTTGTTTCTGCTTCCAATCATCCCATCATTTTCTGAAAACCAAAAATCAAAAAGTAAAACTTTCTGTTATCTCATGAGCTACTAAATGTTGGTGTAAGGAAAATCAGAAATGAAATTACCAGGGCTAGATAAGACGGCACGGGGACGAAGGATTGAACAAGCTCTAGCATCAGCTGGTTTTGTAGCCTTACCAGGATTTCTGCTGTTCTCTGCTGTCCTTGACAAGTATGTTCAATTTTTCAGATAAATGTGAGTGTTAATTGAATGTTTGAGGGTAAACTTTGTTAAGGTTCAATCAAACCTTTGGATGAAGAAATGGAGTGTCCCGGTAGCTTGGAGACATAAGCCTTCTTGGTTATGGCAATTGATGGGGGAGAACAGCTTTGAGTCTCCTTCTCTGCAAAAATATATATGTATTTGATTTAGAATTTCAAATATTAAGTTAGATGGAAACAGTTTCTTACTTTGAAATTTTACCAGGGACAGATTCATCAGAGGCAGTTGTCAACTGCAATGTCCTGTGATGACCTTGTGGGGAAAAATAATCATCTTGTTCTTGTAGCCTCACCTTCACTTTAGGATACACTTCAAAATCCAAAAGAAGCAAAAGAAAATTACATTATATCACACACAAAACTAAGCTCATGAAAACCCAAAAAAATTAAAGAAAAAAAATATTTCTGATCCAGAATTACTCACTTTGTTGTTTTGTTGTTTGTGCTTCTACAGCCAAAAACAAAGATTGCCCACAAGTAGAATATGAAAATGTTAGAATTAGAGGGTTAACAGAAGGTTTGTTTAGAAAGCAAGAGACAAAAAGCTCAAAAGAAGAAAGGCAGGCATGGAAGAAACCTCACTTTTTGGAATTTGCTGTCTGTTTTCAAATTTGAATGGCTTTGCCCTTTAAGGTTGGTTTCCTTGGAGAGCCTGAAGAAATCTTTGTTGGGTTTTCAAGCATACAGTCAATCAAGTAACCTGAGTTGGAGTCCGACACAAGTTCATATGAGCACATGATACCTGATAAACTGAATGATGCCTTCTTCATATCTTGACTTGAAAACCAAGCAAGCAGAATTGATTCTTCGGTCACTGAGTGGCAGAATATGTGATGAAACCCTTTTCCTACTTAATCATAATGATTAAGGTTTAACTATTTTAGGGGCTATGGGTTTGAAGTTTGGTATGTCAACCATAATTTGTAGTCTTACTCATCTCCATGCATATCACATGCCGTTTGAAGTTGAAGTATCCGTACTTTAAATATTGGAATACTCCAAAATTTGGATTCTTGCTGTTTGAAGTTGGTTATGCTTAGGGTGTTAGGGAATAACTATTGGTTAAATGATCTCTTTGTTTTGCTTATTGATCCACGTATGAATTTGGTTCATCTTCTTCATTATCTACCATTCTCTCCTGTTATTATAGGAGTTGAAATTCCTCTCTTTTTTGTTTTGTATATATTTAAAGAGTATAACCATGCCGCTATACATTCGAAATATATTAAAATTTAAAGGGTATGGTAGTAAAATATATTCGAATATTTTAATCGTATACGCCGTTTGAAATATATTAAAATTTAAACGGTATCGCCGCGCGGCTATACTGTTGATATTAAAAGCGTATAGCCACTCGGCTACATTCATTAAATATATTTGAATATTTTAATGGTATAGCTGCTCGGCTATACGGTTGAAATAAATTAATATTTAAAGTGTATAGCCGCGCGGCTATACTCGTTAAATATATTCGAATATTTTAATGTTATAGCCGTGCGGCGATACTTGTTAAATATAATCGTCCAGCAAGTGTATAGCTGCGCGGCTATACACTTTAAATATATTCGAATATTTTAATAGTATAGCCGCGCGGCTATAGTCTTTATATATATATATATATATGAATATATTAATACGGCTATACGTTTGAAATAAATTAATATTTAAAACGTATAGCCGCTCCTATACGCGTTAAATATATGAGAATATTTAAATCCTACAGCCGCGCGGCTATACGGGTTCTGGCTGTACGTTTGAAATATATTAATATTTAAAGCGTCCAGCCGTTCGGCTATACGCATTAAATATATTCGAATATTTTAATAGTATAGCCGGGCGGCTGGACCGTGATTTGTGCAACCGAGTTGGGTTTAGGTATAGACCAGTTGAGCCCAATTATAAGTTGTGGACAGGCTCAAAGAACTCATGGGCCAACTACAATTCCAAGTCGTAAAACAAAAATCCAACGACATGCCGTTTTGCAGAAGTAAGACTTTCATTACATAGTCCACCCTCCAAACCCTCCTCCTTCCTTCCCCGGTGTAAACTCGCAGTCCATCCATCCACTCTCTCTCTCTCTCTCTCTCTCTAATGGCGGCCCAAGCGCGAAAAGGAGGCATCTCCCTCCCGGAAAGGCGAAACCCTAAGAAGGATGACGAAGGCGTGATCGCGAAGTTCTCGCAGTCCCAAGTCGTCGTTCGGGGCAAGCAGGCCGCAAACGACGCCGCATTCGTCACTAAGAAGCTCATGAAGAGCACCGGCAAGGCCGCTTGGATCGCCGGCACCACGTTCCTCATACTGGTTGTGCCATTGATCATCGCCATGGACCGCGAGCAGCAGCTGAACGAGCTCGAGCTCCAGCAGGCCAACATCCTCGGCACCTCAGCCCCGCCTCCTAAGTGAGTTGGGCCAGGCCGGGTCGGGTCCGATACACCGGTACCTTCCCCCTCTTTCATAACCATTCTGTATCGCTTTGGTTTGAGATTGGTGAACCTTTTTTGGGGAGGGCTTTCTGTGATGGTTGCGTAATTTCCTAGGGTTAGTGAGATTCGATTCGGAATTGCAATAATTTCGAGAGTTTTAGTGGTTTTTTTTTTTGGGAGAATGGAAGTTCAATGAATTACTGAAATGCCTGACGGTGCATTTGTGTGTCTTATTTGGGCATGAACAAGTTTAGAGCTGAATTTGCTTCGATATTAGAAATATTTTTTGCTGGTTGGCTTAGTGTTTACTATTCATAATAATCCCTTGTTGTTGTATGTGCCCTCTTTTGTTTAATTCATAGCTTTTAAAAGAATTTTCCCATGTACAAATGTACTTGTCATGCTTGCAAATATTGGGATTTTTCTTCAACAAATGTTGTTATTGAGCACTATGCCTAAGAACCAGTGATTTTGTGTTGTGACTGTCTAAACTTTCATATGCCAAGCATCTTGGTGAGGTGTGGCTTCTAATTTTATGGCGGCACTTTTAGACTCTTCAGTGCCATGAGACTCTTGTTCTATGTAGGGGTGTTTCATTGGCCTTGGCACAGTTTGCAAATCTAGGGTGTTTCATGGTACAATATAGATAAGCCATACCCTTTTCTGGGCAGCTAGAACTTTGTTTTACGTTGATTCTGATCTGTACCATGCATTTTAAGAGTATATGGCATGGAGGGGAATGTCTCTCATCTGAGAGCTTCGTAGCATAGTACTTTTGGTTTTGTCTGGATCAGTGACTATTTCTGGGGTGATTGGTCATCGCTTTATTAGAATGTTCAGCGTAGTGCACAGACAATTGCAATTTCTGCTTGGTTTGGAAATACTTGGTGAATTGTTTTGTATCTTTCACAAACATATTCATATCATCTCCTTCCCTGACTTTTGGAAGTCAGTACTTACAGTATAGTAAAATTGTGGTTGTGGGGAGTTCATTAAGGTTTAAAACAATCAGTATGCACCCATTCACAGTTTTAAAGGTTTTGTGCTATGCATTATGACCCTTATACCTATTGAATTCAGCATGCTTGATTTTATCATTCGGAGTTGGTGGTATGGTGGCTATATATGGACAGATATTCTTGTACAGACCTCTCCATTTTTCAGTTTCAAAACCTTTGTTTGATTGGTAAGTGTAGTTGTAGCTGGTTTGGGTTTGCCAGACAGAATGATGATATGTGAGGGATGAAATAGGAAGTGATTGGCTAGTGTACGTGTTCTAGGAGGTCTTGGCTTGCTAGTCAGAATGATGATATGGTGAAATATGAGATAGGAAGTGGAAGTTTAATAGAAGATTGCGAATTTAGGGCTTATTAGAACAGCATGGATGCATTACTGGCTGTACAGTTTTATGACTGCAGAACTCATTGGTGTGTTGGCATAGTCCAACTTGCGGAATGAAGCAACCCTAGCAGAGAGATAGATGGTAATTATTTTCAGATGAATGGCCTTTGTTAGCTTAGAGACCAGTTTCAAAACTTTCAGTGGGAAAACAATCGGTCTCTACTAGGAAAAACAATTGCTAAGATCTCAACAGTTCAAATGTTGTAGGACCCTCCTAGTTAACGTTGATGGATATGGTCTGCTGCTAACCACCAGCTCCTCTAGATTCTAGACTTGAGCCTTAGGGTGCAGAATAACTAAACCCGTCAAGGTTGTGGTGGACTCTTCTTTTTATCTCTCATCACGTTTCCCTAGGGTGAGAATTCCAGCCGATGAGTAGATTGATTATAACTACGATGTAGTAAACAAAATGGTAATTGTTCACCAAGCATCCAATCCGGGGCTGTTAATCTGAACTACAAAGAAATCTTTATTTCTGAGTATCATCCCTTTGAAGAATCCATACCTCATAAAAAGAACCCAGTTGCTCATCGTCTTGTCTTCGAATTTGATGGAAGAACGAAAATGATTTCTCCAACACTCGAATAATCAGAAGAGTTTGTTTGAAAACTACGTACTGTGGGTTACTTGATGAGGTAGCATAATCCTTTTAAACTCCTCACTGCCAAAATCAAAATAAAGAATGAAATGGAGGGATTAGGCTCCATTGTAATCCAATAAACAACTCCATTCAAGAATGGACATCGGTCTCTCGTTGAAACTTGGACGTCATATGAAACGGAAGGAACTGCGCTACTACTTCTCCAAGCATTCAGTCTAAGGCTGTAAACCTCAACCTCAAGCCTACTTTTTTGGCCTCTGCATTTGCGTGCAAACATTATCACCCTCACAACCTTTCGGCACAATGAAACTCGAACCCAAAAGCAATGAATATTAACAGTATAGGTTGTGTCTTGAATCGGAATGGGAGAAAGTGTCTTGATTTTTTTTGATTGAGGGATTCCATAGATATATAGAATTATGAACATGATGAGAGAAGCAAAGCAATCCATTGCAAGAACCTTTAACGAAATAATAAAAAAGTTGGGCGCATCAAGATTCAGGAACCTTTAAATTCAAGCTTGGACCGATCTTGCCTTTCGACTTGCCCAATCTTGGTAGACGCATCGTCTTGCCCGGACTGGAAATACATAGTGGGCGTGGGATGGGTTTTGCTAGCCCAGGTGGCTTTTCACCATGGCAAAACCCATAGGTGGAAGTACTTTAATGGAACATGTTATTTTGTCTCAATCTAAGAGCATCTCCAACCGATGTGTCAAATGTGCCACATAGATATTTAACAGCTATAGATAACATCTAATATCACTCCAACCGATGTGTCAAAGCTGATGTGGAATGAAGGCCGAAGGTTGAGATGTTATTTTTAACATCCCAAAAGTAAGATGTCAAATGAATATTTTATTATTTTTTTCTTTTCTTTTCTTTTTAACTAAAAATGAATCAACACTAAAATGTAATAAACTAATAATTTAATTTGACTTATCAGGTAGAGTGTAAAGCTGTGTAAGATGTCAAATTGCCACATCAACCATCAAATTTAAATTTAATATTTGGTATTTGACATCTCCCTTGGAGATGTTCTAAGAATGCATATCCTTTGGTGTATCCATACATTGAAAGGACGGTAGAATTTTCCTCTTCGTCTTATTTTGATTAGTTATCCAGTTTGGAATTGCTGTGCTGTGAAAATAATCGCTATCAGATTTGTTGTGACAGAAATCAGCTGTGAGAGAAAGCAGTTTGGCGTTTGGTAAAATTTTTGTTAAAAGTGTTGTTGATGTTGATTTTACGCATAATCAGAAAATGATTGCTGCATAATCATTAAACCCAACACCTCTTCAAAACTGATTCCTGCATAATCAGAAAATGAAAGCACCTAATTAGCTGCTTTCCCTTATAGCTTTCTCTCACAGCAATTTTTAATAATAAGTGATTTTTTCGCAGTTTACCAAACGGGTTGGGCTTCTCAAAATTTTTTAAAAATCACTTATCACCCCGAATAAGCAATGCCAAACTGGCACTTAATATATAATATAATACTTGGAAAGCTGTAAGCTTTTGATTATAGAAAAAACTAAAAGAAAAGAATGGCTTTATTTTGAAGTTTGAACTGTCTCTCAAACAAGAGATTTATAAATATTAAATAAGTAGGGTTATTAACCACGTGGATTTCAACTGAAGCTTGTTTATTTTTAGTCTCTATCACGAAAGTTGAAAGATTACCGTGTTTTTATACGAAAATCAAATAATACATTCCAAATTCTGTTTTCATTTTTCACTTGTGTAATTACAAGTGAAAACTGAACCTAACATAACCTCTAAAGCTAACATTGTTAGGCCATAATTCAAGACTTCACTTGAAGTTTTTTGAGTGTGCATCACATCATAGCCAACCTTCTTTCTCTAGTTGAATAGAAATTTAAGGGCCTGTTTGATAATCATTTCATTTTTTTTATTTTTTTTATTTTTGTACTAAAGTATAAAGGAAAACATGAGTGAGAATGGAAGTGAGTATGAGATTGAGAGAGAGGATGATGGAATAGAGGAGTAACATAAGTGAAAACAACAACTTGAAAGTGAAAATAATTTCAAAAAGATTTCAGCTTTTAGTTTTTGTTTTCACTTTTATTACTCCAGGGGGGGCATCGGGACCGGAAAACCGGAACACCGAACCGGACTAGTGAAAAAAAACTAGTTGACCAAAAAAGTCAACAAATCGGACCGGAATTGGACCGAAAAGATTCCAACTGATTTTGATTCTTGTTTTACACTGCACCAAACCCGACCGGACTGGTTGTATTTTTTTTATTTTATTTTATTACAAAATTTTAAAATCCAAATTAAAAATTAATAATCCGGTTCAAAACCAGAACCGATCAGAACCGAACCGGCCATTTTTATAAAAAAAAATTCCTTCAACCGGACCGTGCCCACCCCTACGCCCCTCATCTTCCATCTCAATTTCTCATCTCCATTCTCATTCTCACTTCTATTCTCCCTCTTTTTCCTCTATATTTTAGCACACAAAATAAAAAACTAAAATTGAAATAGTTATCAAACGGACCCTTAATATTTCATATCATTATTTTATTTTTAAAATAGTGGTCATTCTATGCCGGAGCTACCAAATTTTCTAATTTCAACCCTCATTCCAAACAGAGAGAGACAAGAAAAATGAACTATGACCCATTTCATTGCTTAGTTAGGAAGGCTCTAAATATTGTTGCGACTTAATGATATAACGAAGAAATACTTTTGCAACAATATTGGCTCAGCCAGCCAGCCAGCCATCAGCATTAATGGGTAAAGCTAAATGGCAAAGAAAGAAAAAGGGCACGTAGCACTATCACTTCTTAGATGGACCCCAAATCTGCTTGATAGGCAACTAGGGATTGGAAGATAAAAAGATCAAATGGAGACCAATTGAACCAAACCAAATAAACATTTCAACAGCAAGAGTCGGAGAAACACTCTCATGCGACATAAATAACACTTTTTGTTATCTCTAGTTAATAACGCAACGATATGTGAGTTAACTTTTCCACGTATTATCGGTCGGAAATAGCACAACCTAATCATGCAAAGCGTGTTTTAATAATTGGCCGGGAATAGCACAACCCTAATTATGCTAAGCGTGTTCTAATAAGTGTGGTTAAGAAAACCGACCAACAAATGCTTCGCACATCACCATCAAACTTATATTTTTTAAATTTTGAATTGCCATTAGGGCATAAACATCCAAAGGGCCGAAATAGAAAAGGAAGAAAGTATGATCCATGCCAAACTTCTTTTTCTCAATGATTGATGCAAAAACAACAAAGAAGAGAATGAAATCAAAAGCTAAAAAGTATAATCTTGAGGACCCATATCTGGCAAGTACATAAAACAAAACTCCAACAAAAGTTAAGTGTGT